CCTTAACTGTAAGTATGGGCTCCCTCGTATCTTTTTCCGCGGCAGCCTGAAATTTACGTGGTGAACCAATCGCTTTTTTATTGACTGCGGCGAGATTGTTCGAACTCGTCTCAGCTGTGTCTGTTTGGTCAACTGTGGGGGCCTTAAGTGTAAGTGTGGGCACCCTCAGTATGTGTTCTCTGGATAGGTTGCTTCTTGATGAACCCCCTCGGCTGCCTAAGTACACTGAACGAATAAGACGGCAAGGGGTTAGAGGAACAGACGCCAGTACGCTGGTCAGCGCCCTCGCTGGGCATTTCGTTGAAACTGCTCATAATTGTGACGTAAATGGGAGACCCCTCTCCGAGAGGATAATAACTAACCCTTATGGTGACCGAATATTCCAGCAGCAGTAGTAGAAATAACTACCAATGGGCTATGATAATTTAGTTGTTGTATTTATGGGGAATCTTTGAACAGAAATTGCAGTTACCGGGGCCATAATCAACATTTTATGAGCGCTGAATGACCTGCAAGTACAACAGGCAACAAAATTCTGATTGGTCTATCCCACGCACCCGGTAATTTCGATCAGAGAGGACCGAACATGTGTTCCCTGTGCGTGACATAAACAGTAGGGTTTGGGTGGGGAGTTAGGGAAAAAAATATCGACCGGGTGAGTTTGTGGCACGCCGAGAACATTGCTGTCTGACTGCCATACCCACTGCCTCAACGTCCTGCAAATTCAGATGCACTCGTTTCCGATTCAATGACCCGCAGTACATCGACCGACTTTCACCCACGAATACATACGCGTCCAAATATTCGCGGCTGTTAAAGTGCAACTTGAACACATCACCTCTCAGCCGATGCAGAATGGGCCCTCTCGGGCAACGCAACACCATTCTTGCACCACTTGAACTTGCTCCACAATCACATCAAAGCAGTTGCCATCGTAGTGTCACTCATTCTCTCAGGTACGACTGGACGCAGTCAATGCTAGCCCCTGTTTCGCCATCGGACACTACCAGTTGAGACAGCAGCTCAGGATCCTACGAAAAATGAATCCCTCGTTCTGGTGTCTTCTGACTTTTTCCAAAAAACCGGATTTGACCTGATAATTTCAGTGCTGTGAGTACACCACCTACCTAGACACCACCAGCCTTACATAGAACAAGCCACAGCAGAGTTCGAACCCAGTAAAAGTCCTGTTTAGTACCTGTTGAAGCACGCTCATTACCCGGTCGCGTTGGATACGCCGAAGCAGTTTACAGATTGGTATCTAAAGCATCCAGTTCAATGCAAATATAGTAAGTGATTCGAATTAATTAGTAAATATGTGTGTCATCTACAGTCTTCTAATCTATAACCAAACGGTGCGAACGACAGGAAAATCGATTTCACGGTACAACAATGACAAGAATAACCAGCTACACACCCGTTACTGATGTGATTTCAGTAGCACTTTTTACTCAAACTACTAAGGTCACAACCAACCCTCCACGCAAAAACTTCAACATCATCAGCCAGATTTAGATTATGAACTTCCGCAATAAGGGCAATAGCCTTAAGCTCATGAGGTTGAAGATGAAGAATGTGTCAAAACTACCTCATTCGACTTTCCTGGATGGTTTGGAATGTCCTTGGGATGTTATCGCAGTGAGTGCAGACTGTCTCATTTGAGACGAAGTCGGTGTACTTCACTCGAAGGAAGGCCCTCAAGAAGTGGTGATCAGACACCTCCAGTTTTCTTTCATCTTCCAAGTGACATGGCCCAGCATTCACAGCCGTAGAGGACAGACCGAAAGGATGCACGGGACATGCAAACCTTGGCAATGGATATATCGCGTCAGGTCTAAAGAGACTCCCTATGGCTTGGACGAGCTGGAATCGCCTACGGATATTAACGAAAACCGTCGTATTAGCGCCGATAAGAATTATGTCGCGGGAGTTCTCACATCGTTTCTTATCTCCCTTCTTCTAAAAGGGTGCTAGGATATCTGAACCCTAGTCATCAGGGATGGCCTCGTCCCCCCAAGTTTGTCCAATCACCTCGTAGAGCCAAGGCGCCAGTGTCGACACAAGACGTGTAGAGTTCTGCGGGTATACCGTTCGCCCCAGGTACCTTATTTTTGCATTTAAAATATGGTTTCATTGTGACTTATTTGTCGCCTCTTGTTATGCAATGATATTGGAGTTAGGACACTTCTGCTGAACTCAGCCGGCTAACGAGAAACATATTCAACACACCTCAGCTATCTTTGAAATTGCCCGAAGCACCATCTTACTGCAGGTGTGTTTATAAGTAAAGAATAAGGCTCGTTGCCCGCCGGAATTATGGCTTTATCCGTCCGAGTTTTCGGTCTCTTACTGGAGTCCATCCTCGTAGTTAAAAGTGGCAATCCCATTTGCATGACAGGTAGAACATTACACACGCCAAGCTGGAAAAGACAGA